GGGGGGAGGCGGGGGCAGGGGGCGCGCCCCCCCTGCCAAACCTGAGCTCAACTGCTGGGCATGCTGTCACAGAAACAGTTTTAGTCAAAGCCACTATTTTCTGTTGTTTTAAATATGGAGCCAAATCCAGAAGGTGAAGGCATATAAGCCTTCACAAAAAGAGGGCTCTACCCAGGGCACTGTAAGCCAGCGGCTTTAATCACAGGCTTTGGTGGTATCCAAGAGACCAGCCTGGGGAACCCAGGTTTGAGTGAAAATAAATAAAGTAATAATAATAATAAATAATAATAACAGTAATCATAATAAAAGAAACGACGACAGACAGTCGAAAACAAAACTACAGCATAAGAAACGACTGATGGCTGGGAGTGGAGGGGAGCAGGGGGAGGATGGAGGGGGGGCTCGGGGCGGGCAGCAGCACCCCTGCCCCGCTGCGGGGACTCACCAGCTTCACTCCCGACAGCACCTCCAGGAGGGAGATGAGGTTGTGGCCATCTCGCAAGTCTTCGTAGAGGTCGTTGATGTGCTTGCGCACCTGCGGAGAGCCGGGGAGGGGGGGGGAAATGCCATCAGAGCCACGCGTCTCCTGCGCTCTGCCGCTGTTTGCAAGAGAGCAGGAGGAGGGCAGCGGCGTCTGCAAGCAGCGTGCATTTAAAATGGTTATTCCAGAATTATCGCTAAGGAAAGCGGCCGCCCGTTGCCCAAATGACCCGGCAGAAGTTGCTGCTAATTTTTACGCACAAAATCAAACTGTTAAACCCCCCCGTACTCCAGGCAGTCCCCTAATAAGGCACTCGGACCGCTTGCAGAAAGGGCAGCTCGGTCCTGAAGCGGTGGTTTGACTGCTCACGTCTCCCGAAACGCGGCAGCCAGGTCCCAGCTGAGAGCAGAGCAGGCTTCCGCGGGGCTGCCAGAGCAGGCTGACCGCACGCGGCCGCCAGACCCGCTCCTCTCCCCGACCTTGCCCCGGGGTTTTACTCGGCTGGGAAGCCCCCGATGTAGAGAGAGTCCAGAGGAGGGCAACAAGGATGATGAGGGGACTGGAGCATCTCCCCTGTGAGGAAAGGCTGAGGGAGCTGGGCTTGTTCAGCCTGGAGAAGAGAAGGCTGAGAGGGGACCTCATCAACACCTACAAATATCTCAAGGGTGGGGGTCACGAGGATGGAGCCAGACTCGTCTCGGTGGTGCCCAGCAACAGGACAAGGGGCAATGGGCACAAACTGGAGCATAAGAGGTTCCAGTTGAATATAAGGAAGAACTTCTTGACTGTGAGGGTGCCCGAGCCCTGGCCCAGGCTGCCCAGGGGGGCTGTGGAGTCTCCTGCTCTGGAGATATTCAACCCCCGCCTGGACGCTGTCCTGTGCCCCCTGCTCTGGGTGAGCCTGCTTGGGCAGGGGGGTGGCAGTGGGTGAGCTCCCGAGGGCCCTGCCAACCCTTGCCATGCTGGGATTCGGTATGACTCCGTATCCCCACAGCAGCCTCAAGAGCAGGTGGCCTCAAGATTTCTCTTTTTTCCCTTCCTTTGCAAGATTTAGAAAGTAGCCCAAGGCCTGATGTGGAGGTTTGCAGAGCCGGCAGGAAAACACAGCTGTGACTCCTAATGCCCAAATGACTTTTTTTTTTTTTTTTTTCCCCAAATGGAAAATTAATTAAAAAATACCCGGCATGAACCAAGAAAAGCAGGAGGCACCTTGCGGCGAGGTATTAATCCTGCTTAGCTACCTATGGTTGAAAGCACCTCCCTTTACAAACTTTGGGGCTCCTCTCCGCGCAGAAGCAAAGACAAGAAAGCCCCCATGCCCTGGCAGCGGGGCACGAGCGGGGAGCAGCTCCACGCCGGGATCACCTGGCTTCCCCGGCTGCCCACCGCCCCACCAGCCTCCAGTTAAAGCAAGGAGTGGGTGCTGAGGGGGAGAATGCAATAACGAGGGCTGCGTGGTGATGTTAGAGTGCCCTCCAAAGGCATCGGCACATCTCCACCGCAGCCGTCTCCGCTCTCAGTACGGATGCGGATGAACACTCAAATCCAATGCAAAAATTCCCAGACAAGAAGAAAAAAATTTAAAAAAAAAAATATTAAAAAGCCATTAATCTGCCAGTCCTGAGCCAGAACAGACAGACAGACGGCCGTTTGACTGGCTTTATAATAAAATATGTGACTCTTACCTTCATCAAGTGTTTATTGACCCATTTCGTGAAGGTTTTCTTTTGGACTCTGTCCCGTTCATCTGTCAAAAGAAGACAAAGGCGGCTCTCGGTCAGGGCTCCTCATGCAGAAACTCAAATGACTTTGAAATGAGGGGAAAGAGGCAGAGGAATCGCCGCCGGTGCCAGGACCGCTGGACGGATCCTGTGCCGGCACAGGGGGAACAGAGGCTGCTTATTCAGGGGTTGGTGCAGGACGGGGCAGCTCCGCTGCCTGGCTTGGGCAGGGAGGTAGGAGCATCCACGTAGCTGGAACAAAAATGCACTGCTTTTTTGGAGGGGGAGAATAGTGTTATTTGAATAAAAGCAGCATGGATGATTGGGATGGGTATAGCTGCGGTGACAACCGAACCCCCCAAATGATTCCCCACCGACTGGGACCCCCACGCCTCCTCGTTCCCCCTGGAGGCAGTGCAGGGAGAGAGAGGTGGGCTTTGCTCGAGCCCCCCCCCGCTTTAGGAGGGTGTCCCCCTCCCTCGCCCGCTCCCGGAAGGCTTTAACGCTTTATATAAACCCCACAGATGTCCCGTAAGGGGCCTCTGCCGGGCACTGGCAGCGTGTGCAATTAGCAGCTTATTCTGTCGCTGTACTCTTGGTTCATTGGATTGTCAGGATTTAATGGTTATTTCCGTCCCGTGGCTCAGCCGAGGGTGCGGGAGCTATAGGCAGGCTTCGCCCTGCCTGTTCTCGGCGCAAAAACTAATATCCTGTGAAAAACAAAGGCAAATCAGGCAAAAGGAGAGGGTGTGAGATGGGTCCACACTGCTGGAGGGTCCCAAGGGACGGGGCGGGGGGGGGAGGTTCTGAGCCCCCAAGTCCCCACGCCCAGGCAGCGAGGAGGGCTCAGGGCAACCCTGGCAGCCAGCCCCACGCCAAATGGCATCGCTTGGTTTTAACAGCAGCATCTCGGAGGACAGAGAGTGCCTCAGTACCAACCCACAGCATGCCACCCCAGGCTCCCAAACACTGCCCTGTCCAGCCCAGGGGTCCCTGGGATAGAGCAGGAAAGGACAAGCCCCGCTATCCCAAGACATCCCTTTGACCTTTGGTGGCCCCCTACGATGGGGTTATAGCGTTGGTGGATACAGGAAGAGCAACCGACATCATCTGCCTTGACTTGTGCAAAGCATTTCAGGCTGTCCCACACAACATCCTTGTCTCCAAGTTGGAGAGACATGGATTTGATGGATGGGCCACTCGGTGGATAAGGAATTGGCTGGATGGTCACACTCAAAAGAGTTGCGGTCAACAGCTCGATGTCCCAAGTGGAGCCCAGTGATGAGTGGCGTTCCTCAGGGGTCAGGTACTGGGACCAGTACTGTTCAGTATCTTTGTCAGCGACACGGGCAGTGGGACTGAGTGCACCCTCAGCAAGTCTGCTGATGACACCAAGCTGTGTGGTGCAGTCGACATGCTGGAGGGAAGGGATGCCATCCCGAGGGACCTGGACAGGCTTGAGAGGTTGGACCTGTGCGGCCTCATGAAGTTCAACAAGGCCAAGTGCAAGGTTCTGCACAGGGGTCGGGGCAATCCCCAGTACAAATACAGGCTGGGCAGAGAATGGATTAAGAGCAGCCCTGAGGAGAAGGACTTGGGGGTGTTGGTTGATGAGAAGCTCAACATGAGCCGGCAGCGTGAGCTGGCAGCCCAGAAAGCAAACGGTATCCTGGGCTGCATCCCCAGCAGCATGGCCAGCAGGGCGAGGGAGGGGATTCTGCCCCTCTGCTCCGCTCTCCTGGGACCCCACCGGGAGCCCTGTGTCCAGCTCTGGGGCCCCAATAGAAGGAGGACATGGACCTGTTGGAGCGAGTCCAGAGGACGCCACCAAGATGATCAGGAGGCTGGAGCACCTGTCCTAGAAAGACAGGCTGAGAAAGTTGGGGTTGTTCAGCCTGGAGAAGAGAGACCTTGTAGCAGCCTTCCAGTGCCTGAAAGGGCCTACAGGCAAACTGGAGAGGGCCTTTTTACAAGGGCCTGCAGTGATAGGACAAGGGGTAATGGCTTTAAACTGGAAGAGGGTTGGTTTTGATTAGATATAAGGAAGGAATTCTTCACTCTGAGGGTGGTGAGGCACTGGCACAGGTTGCCCAGAGAAGCTGTGGATGCCCCATCTGTGGAAGCACTCAAGGCCAGGTTGGATAGGGCTTTGAGCAACCTGGTCTAGTGGGAGATGTTCCTGCCCATGGCCGGGCGTTGGGACTGGATGATCTTTAAGGTCCCTTCCAACCCAAACCACTCTATGATTCTATGACATTCTATGTCCACCAGGCAGAAGCACCCCTTGCTTTGGTTTTAAGCCAAAAATCAAGAAAAAGGAGAAAACCAGCCTCTCCCAGCCCGGGCTCCCCAGCCACGCTGCATGTCCTGCCTGGGTGGCCCCACGTCCACCTTCCTGGAGTGGGGGTCACTGGGGGGGTCCCTGCACTGTCCGAGCAGCCAGGGACCCTCAGGAAAACCTCCCCACATCTCAATCCATGCAGATTTGAAAGCACCATCTAACATCCCTCCTCCTCCACACCACGGCTTCCCCCATCCAAAAGCACCGCAATAAAACATGCAGCACGCCACCAGCCCGTCACCCCCCCATGTCCCACTCCGTCCCCCGGTCAAAGCACATAACCAGGTGCTGAAAACTATCTGCTGGTTGAACTATGACTGCCCTCCCTCCCCACCCCACCGGGCTGCGGCCTCGGCACGGCTTCCTGGGGTGATGCGGGCCAGCCACA